ACTTCATCCAAACAAATATGGCACATAATACAAGGAACCATAATACCTCTCCTAGATAATCTCTCCCTTGTAGGATTACTAGCCAACTGAATCCTCCAAATAAGAATATTGAGTTTAATAGGAACCCAATTATTCCATCTAGTAGCCATATCCCCTGAATCAACTAGACCACTATCCAAAGCATGACGAGCCGACGAAACAGAGTAAGAGTCAGAACTATCAAGAGATCAACCCAACTTATCCGGGACTTGCTGAAGTTGTATATTCTGCATCTCCTCCAAAAAATAATCCCATTGAACTTGTTCTATCCCACCTCTGGGCAAACGTCTTAAATCTTCTATGTTCCATCCAATTAAAAAACGATTCCTTACATTGGCTGAACGATTAATATCTAAAGCAAAAATTCTATGAAAGGAAATAGCTAGCAGACTATCACCCTTCCAAGTATCATGCCAAAAAGAAGTACTAGCCCCATCACTAATCCGAATAGGAGCTAAACTATGGAAATCAAAACCCCGGTCTTTTAGATTATCCACAATCCTTGTAATATACCTCCAAGGACCCGTCAATAATCTCTGCGAAATCATCGGATTTGTGACCTCACCCAAACCATATAAGATTTTGACCACCTAACCCATAATAAATTTGGGTTATAGAAGAAACGCCACTTCCAACGTAATAATAAAGCCATATTAAAGGCAAAGAGACTACCAATCCCCAAACCACCAACATCAGTGGGAGCCAGCACTTTATCCCATTTAATCTAATGCAGACGACGCTCATCCAACTCAGCCACCCAAAAAAACGAGGACCTCAATCTCTCCAGCTGATTTATCACCGTTAGTGGAACCGGATAAATAGACATCAAATAGCTGCCAATAGATCCCAAAACAGCTCTAACAAAAGTCATTCGACCCACAAATGAAAGGGTTTTAGCTTTCCAGACCGCCAATTTTTTTTGGAAAGAATCAATAATAGAACCCCAAGAATCAATTCTAGACATATTCTGACCAATCGGAACACCCAAATGAATAAAAGGAAGTGAACTCGAAGAACAACCCATACAATTAGCCAAATAAGATACTTGATTAGCTGTTACCCCCACACCGTATAGCTTACTTTTATGGAGATTAATTTTCAACCCCGAAGCCAAAAAAAAAAAACATCTAACATTTATTTATTAGAGATGATTGAAGGTAAAAGTGTCGATTTTATAATTGACTAGGTGTAAGAACCATGTATTGAATGAATTAATTTAAAAGAATGTTAAATATAAAGGTCAAATATTTGAAAACTTAGAATTTATAAGAAAATAAGAAAAATAATAATTTATTATAATAAAAAAAGTTTTTACCTTTTAAATTTAAAGAAATAATTTAAATAAAAAAACTAATTAGCTTTAATTTTAGGAATTTTGAAATTAAATGTAAGTTTATTAGTGAAAATAATATTTATTTATTACTATATTTATTGCAATTATTATATTAAAATATTATATATAATTTTGATAAAATTAAAAAAATCATAAAATGATATATAAAATAAAATTAATTTAAAATAACCATAAAACAAGATTTGATAAATTAAATAAATGAAAAAAAAAAATTGATTTATTGAAAAGGGTAATATAGAAAGGTTGCTTTGATGTCTCTTGGTAGTTGTGGAATTGCATCACCACGTCAACTTACATTGACTTTGAAAAGAATAACTTACTTTGACCATTGGTATCAATTTACGTCAATATTCGAAAGCATTCACAAAACGTTTTATATCATGTTCGAGACCAAATTTCACAGTGATGTTGAAATATGTGTCCATTATTTATTTGGATTTTTTTTTAAACGTATATCTAAAGTATGTTGTAAAATAATATGATCTAATTATTAAACATTAAATATAGTTAGGATGGCAACTTGGAACCATGACCCCATTCTTCCTCCTCGTCCCCAATCTCCACTCTATCCGATTCCCCACCTAAGATTTAACTTGGCATCTTCGTCTCCTTTCTACTAAGAATTGAATATCTTCCAATGACACTATAAAATAATTTGTAGAAACCACGATTGATCTAAATGAAAAGGCAAAAGTTTAATCACATAAATATGTAAGAGATCATTGTAAACTTATTTATACCAAAGCTCTTGTACCACTTGAAGACGCGAAGGGGTTTTCCCATCCCCATCCTTGGCTTTATAAGTTGGTAAATATTGTCATGTTTCCCGATCAACTCTGGTAATAAAACACATATGCCATGTTATATAAGTTCTTTTTTTTTTTTTTAATCCTAAGATTCGGCATAAAATCGTTAAATGAATCAGTTATCATTTAGTGAAATCTTCAATAAAATCCTAAAATTTTGGTCCGATTTATGTTATAGTCCTAAACTAATTTTTGTTTACGAAAAAGTCCTAAAAAACCGGCAAAAGTATGCATTTTGATCCCTTTTGACCGGTTGGAACCGGCAACAAATTAATTTGGAACTATTTCATAAACTAACATAAAATATTGGGACTATTTCACAAAATGACCTAAAATATTAGCATTTAATTTGCAAAAAAAATATTATGACTTTTCTACAAACAAAAACTTTATTATTATTATTATTATTATTATTATTATTATTATTATTATTATTATTATTATTATTATAAACAAGTATACTAATTTTTAAAGTCATTATTATTAATATTTTTAATAATACATATAAAAACACTTAAATAAAAATATATTAAAGAAATTATTTAAAGGTGAAGGTGGTGGTGATGGTAATGCTTTAAGCATTGAAATCACTGCTTGTATGTTCTCATTTTGTATATAATCATTTCACATTTCTTATTATTGTTTTCAATTCAAAATATTAACACTTAACAATTTAAAAGAAGTTGCCTATTTGTAAAATTATGTATAAATAGTTTAAGATAAAAGGATTTTCTCACTTTGTATATAAAATTTCTTAATATAGAATGATTTCTTTTCAAATCTAACAGATCAACAATAAATATTTATATTGGTGGCCTATATCAAAATTCGAAAATATTAATTAAAATATCTTATTTAATAGAAAGTAATATGATTTATTTTGTTTTATCACACTATATCTGCTATGTTTCCAAAAAAACCTCAAGGATAAAGTAATGAAAAAGAGCAACACACATGTTGGTAATTCAAAAATACTTACACACAAGACATACATGCATATCACATGCTCACTATTTGTAAACAATTTGAAAAATCAGTAGTTTCTTTTAAATTGTTAAATGTTAATATTCTGAATTAAAAACAATAATAACAAATATGAAATGACCATATACAAAGTTATAATATACAAACAGACATTCATGATTTCAAAGCTTAAAGCATTACCATCCGCTCAACCTTCACCTTTATAAAATGTCTTTAATATTTTTTTAATTTAAAAGTATTTATATGTATTATTAATAATATTAATAATAACAAATTTAAAAAATAGTATACTTATTTATATTTTTAATATAATAATATAAGGTTTTTGTTTGCAGAAAAACCCTAATATTTTTTGTTTTTGCAGAAAAGTCCCAATATTTTCGGCCAATTTATGAAATAGTCCTAAATTAATTTGTTACCGAATCCAACCAGTCAAAAAGAGTCAAAATGCAAACTTTTGTTGGTTTTTGGGATTTTTTCGTAAACAAAAATTAGTTTAGGACTAAAACATAAACCGAGCTAAAATTTTAGGACTTTATTGAAGATTTGCCTATCATTTATTATATCAAAAGACTTGTCAAAAGAAACTTATATTTGAATGCATTGATGCATAAGATTTTATCACATGTAAATGTTCTAAACTATGATGTCAAAAACAAACAAAAATCTCAAACCCATTATCATTTATTGTCTTTCATATTATTATTGAAGATCCAACGAATATGTACATGATATAGTAATATAAGACGTATCAAACACCATCTGTTATTAATGGAAGAAAGATACTTTGTTTTAATAAAAAGTCATAATATATTTTATTTAAAATATTACACACTTTGAATTGAAACTGCATATATGGTCTGTCATACTAATTATGTTGGTTTTGACCCATTCGAGTTCAATTACTATGTCGTTGATGACATTTAGTAACAACTAGCAACTACATTGTTACTTAGGAGTAGATTAGCTAGGCCAATGGGCTAATGGCCTAGCGGTATGAAGTGACCTTCTCATATGAGAGGTTAGAAGTTCAAGTTTCGGTAGAGATATAAGTTGTTATTTAGGAGTAGATGCAACTACATATTTTTATGAAAACGTACCATAATTTGTAATCACTAAAACTAAAACATAGTTATTATAACAAAGAAGTAAATGATTTAATCAAAACACATAACATCCATGTTATTCGAACAAAATCAAAGATACGATTCATGACTAACTTTATTTTTCTTTTATTAATTTAATCAAGTACCGATCCTTTTGACTGTATTATTAATCTTGTATATATCAACTAGACCAATGATGCTAAATCGCGATTTTCCAATTTCTGCGTATCTCTTCTTTCGCATGTTAATATATGACAGCCATAACAAAAATTCTTTTAGAATTATAATGGTTTTTTACCATTCTCGAGCAAGAATTTTGAATCGTAAACATTATAGCAAAATGTGAAATGTGAATGTGAATGTGTTCTCCGTGATATAGTCATTTCGATAAACAAATTAAAGATGAATGAAAAATTATATGTGGAAATGAGATACTTGGAAGAAAATACCAAAGGGATTAAGCCCATTTTATTTTATCCCACATGTGTGGAAGTACAAAAATAAAAGCGAGTTTATAAATTATAAATTATAACTACAAATATTTCTTAGCTTTGTAAGCCTTGTGACAAATGGGTTCTCTTTTGCGCACACTTCTTATATGAACATAGTGAAAAGGGAGGAAGGCAAAGAATAATTATGATCATGATACAATCATTCTAGGCCTACCCTAAAATTGTTGACCTCTTTTTCCAAAGCCACCATCATTGATCGATGTCCATCTGTGACATGTCTTCATCGCTGTTCACTGCCTATCGACAACATTGTAGCCTTGTCGTTCCCATCGTTGTTGATTTAAGCCTCCCTCTGCATAACTGCTTATCTAAATGTTAGGTTATCAGTACATTAAAATTCTCTCTATCAAAGGTTATGCATTTTTCTTTTTATTTTACGCTTTTATTATTATTATTTATATTTTTTATTTTCCTCTTCTACATGTCTACCTCTGGATCATTGAGCACCCTCACGACTTCAAAAACCAACCAACTAATTTTTGCACTTATCAATGTCCACTCATAGTTTAACTTTTAGCTCTTTGTTGATGGTTCAAAATTGCGTCATGTCTTAATTATGGATTGCCGTCTATCGACAACAATTTAGCCTTGTGGTTCATGTCGTTGTCGATTTAAGCTCCCTCTATATAACTACTCATAAAAACGTTATCTTATCAATACATTAAAATTCTCTCTACTAAAAGTTATGCATTTTTCTTTTTATTTTATGCTTTTATTATTATTTATATTTTTGTTGTTCTTCATCTACATGTCTACCTATGTATCATCGAGCACTCTCACAACTCTAAAAACTAGCCAATTAGTTTTTGCACTTACCAATGCCCACTCATAGTTTAGCTTTTAACTCTCTGTTGATGGTTCGAAATAAAAACAATGGGGATGTATTTTCTTAGACATGTGCAAGGGTGCCAAAGTGCATGGTCATATCAATGGAAAATCTAAACGTCACGGTGATGATGATGAGGATTAGGAAGCCATTAACCCTCATATTAAATCTTGGTTCTATTATACATGTGATGCTAACCTATTGCATATTATCTCTAGTGAAAATTATGCAGCTAAAGACCTTTGGGACACCATGAATTCTTCCTCAATAACAAAATGTTCGTCATGCTTCAACTCCAAGAGCCATTCGCAATACCGAAAATGATTCTTCCTCCATTATAGAGTTTTATCACTAGTTAAAGAATTTACTTGAGACATTTGCAGATTGTGATTCCAAAATTGATGAGATTGAGCTTGTGGTGCAAATCCTTCGACAACTCCCACCTTCTTATCATATCATTATCAATGTCCTCACCAACACGAATCCATTCCCCTCGTTTCATGAGGCTAAGAATATGCTCCATCTTCATGAATCTCATGAAGAATCCACAGAAGCAACCAATGATGCCATACTTACATCTTCTGCTGCATTATTCTCCTCCGCCCCCAACAAATAGAAAATCGAAAAATAAAGTTCATAGGGGTAAAAATAATGGGTGATTTGCTACTAAGGCTAATATTAATGTTTACACTAACTCTAATTACTTTTTAGGTTCCTAGACTGTTTTGGATCGGCTGTCGCTTCGAATCCGCTGCTACTTCACCATAAGGCCTCCTTGGTGCCTCCACCTACTCTTACTTCACCACAAACTCTACCTGCTACCCTCGGTGCTTACGACGTCTGTAATTTGTAACTTTTTAATTTTCATAATAAATTTAACGTCTAGTTTTCACAACGAAACTTTTTTCTTTTAGAATAGATAATTTTTTTTTCCATAAAACCAAGTCAAGAATAACCATGAATATCAAATACCATCATCCTAAAAATTAGGGTATCATAATAACATAGAATCACAAAAAGCTATCGATGAATGTGTACAGTAGATCATTCGCCTTCCTACAATCATCTAATGTACCTGAAACATATTTAATTCCATAATTGTAAACAATAATCATAGTGAGTTCCCCTAAATATCATATACAACACAACATTATAAACAAGTGTGGGTTATCAGCAACCTTAGGACTATCAATAGTCTTATGGGCTCATAACATCCCAATGGATTATTAGCAACCCTGTGGACTACCTATAGTTTTTAAGTTATCATCAACTCAATAAATACACAAAACATCAATTAACAAATAAGACTTTTCTAGACTAGCATGCATACCACTATGACATAGATAATATAGCGAGAAGACTCGCCTCATAAATTGCAGACTAACACAAAAGCTCTCTGATAATGAAGACTGATACTAAAAGTATTGGATTAAGGTGTCTAAGCTCATAACTAAATTTTTATAATGTTTCAAATGGAAGCAAACTCCTTTTTAGGTTGCCCTCAGAACTAGTAATGGAGTAGAATGACTTTTGGAGAGAGAAGTTGATTTATTGATTTATTATATGATTAATAAATATAAATAGATGAATTTTTAATATGCTATGTGATTAATTTATTAATTAATAATAGTATTATTTACTTAATCAAAAATTAATTGGAATTAATTTTGGGATTAATTAGATTAATTAAAGGTTTATGTATTTAAGTTTTAATTGTTCAAAAGTTGAATAAGAGAAGTATTTTAGATCCTTCCTAGGGTAGCCGAACATTGGCTTGATGTTAGGGTTTCTAGAATGCATCATGTGAATAATTAAGAAACTGGATATATACCAGATTTGAAATAATATCATTTTATTTCAAATAAGGGTGTCTAGGATTTTTCCTATCAACTATAAATAGGACCCTCTAGGTGCCTTATTTTCGTCCAACCTCTCATACACAAGAAGAGCTGAAATTTTTCTCCCTTCTCCTCTCTTATCAAGTCTTTTAGTTTCTAGGGTTTGGGTACAAACCATTAGAGGCACTAAGCTTTTTGTGCTTGAATTCCAAGGCTTTTAAAGAAGGATTTTAGTTGGTTATTTTCTATAACAATCAAAATTTATGTAAACTCTAATCCCTTGTATATTTCAGCTATTATAGGGTTCCTTTAGGGTTCTTGATGTTCAATGTTTCATTTCTATCAATTAGAGAAAACATAGATCATTTGTAGGTTGCATGTGCACTTAAGAGTTAAAAATTTCCGATTCACATGGTTTATATATAACCTATAAAACCTATCAGTGGTATCAGATCTAGGTTTACAACTGTGCACATAATTGAATGATTCAAAATTTGGTTTTTATCGAAAGTAAACCTTTTTTTTTTTTTTTTTTGATATTTCGGGTTTCTTGAAACCTTAGTCTCCACCCCTTACTGTAGAAAATTGTAGTGTTACACCTAAGAATTGCTAGTTTCCTTAATTATTATTTTCATTGCCTTAAAATTTGAATAATTAAAACCTGATAACCCTAAACCTTAATTTTCGAAAATTAGGGTTTGGATAAAGATTAAATTTGAATTATTTTATTAATTTTTTAAATGAAAATAATTATTTAATCCCTAAATCATTTTATTAATTTAATTAATTGTTTAATTAAAAGATAAGGATAAATCATAATTGGTTTAATATTAATTAATTAGAAGTTTAATTTAGATAATTAATATTTAAACCTTGCATTTTGAAAGGTTTTAAAATACACATTATATATATATATATATATATATATATATATATATATATATATAAAATTAAAAGTTTAATTATTATACATATAAGAAACATCTGTCGAATCTCTAATAAGCCTCATTCACGAAGCCATATTATAAACAGGGTAAAATAAACAGTCTACAAAATGACCGTTGAATGTGTGTCCTTTTCACCCACTGCTCTCCTATTTGGTAGGGGGTCGTTAGCTAAATGGGTTTGATATGACATAATCACATTAAAAGTATAATAAGATAAAGTATGAGAAGCCTCCTTAAAATCTCAATTTAGTTATTTTAGGAAAAATGTGAAATGTATGCAAATCCATGAAAACGCACGTCATTCTTTATATGTCATTAGTGGAACGTGTTTGGCTAATCGACACATTAATTAGGCACTATAAAGTTGAATAATGGTACAAATGGTAAATTATCACTATTGATGGAGCATGTATGGTAAACCAGGCACATCAATTTGAGATGAAAAATGACATCGAGGTTGTCGAGCGGGTTTGCATGATTATTCACATATTTTTTGTGATCCTTGGTACCCCAGTCATAAATAGAAGAGCATAATCTAAGATTAAATATGCCATATTTAAGATTTAATCAATCTCAAAAGATCTAGGAATTTCATATTATATTAAAATTGGTGAATTGTTTTACCTACCTTATAAATTCTCAATAAGACTACGATATCCCTTTTCTTGATTATGAATAATATTTAAATCCTAGCATTAAATATTTATTATGGGTTAAAATATTAAGGATTTATATCAACTAACTACAACTATCTCTTATAGTATATGTCTGGAACTAGTGATGTTACTGCTTAAACCTCTACTCATAACTCCAACTTCACCCTCTTGTTGGTCTTGTTGAAAGAGAAACTTCCCGGTCCAAACTACATGGACTGGATGTGAAATCTCAACATAACTCTTTGGTATTAGAACAGAGAATATGTTTTTGAGAAACCTCTTCTTGAAATCGATTAGTCAACTGCTAGTCTAGAAGAGCTTGTCACTTACAAACAACACTATGACAACGCAACGAAGGTCGCTTTCATAATGTTTGCGACCATGGTACCTGAGTTGCAATAGTACGGCGAGGACTATTAGCTATATGAAATGTGCTTGGGTCTTGCTGAAAAATTTCACAAGAAAGCATGTCAAAAAAGGTATGAGGACGTCAAATCACTTATGGCATGCAAGTTAAAGGAGGGAGAATTTGTGTGAACCTATGTGTAGAGAATGCAAAGATATGTCGAGAAGTTGGAAAATCTCAACATGTCCTTTGATCAGGAACTGTCCGTTGTTATGGTACTTAACTTCTTGCCTCCTAGTTATGATTAGTTCATATTGACTTATCATTTGAACAACATGGAGACCTCTTTTGCGGACAATTGAGTCGGGGATGAAAAAAACTTAGATCACTTATGTGACAAGTGCTCCTATCCTGACCATTGGGAAAAACAAAGGAAGGAAAAGGAATGATAATCCTTAATAGAATTGGAAGGGCAATGCTCATGCTGGAACATCTAGCAGTGGGTCAAAGACAAAGCTCAACTTTGACATTTCTACTGTTAGTGACCCAAACGAGGCTACTTCTTACTATTGTAGCAAAAATTAGAAATGGAAATGAAGTTGTCCAAAATTATCGCATGACATTAAGGATGGAAAGTTTAAGTCATTTTTGGCAGGTATATACATTATTAAAGTCAATAACTCACAAGTTACTCATTCTTGGGGTCCTTGACATATGATGTGGTTTCCAAATTTTTTCTGACTTGTAGGGGCTAAGAGAGACTGAGCAAGTGGAGCATGGAAGAGTGAACATGAATATGTGGAATATGCAATTTTCACTTGTTACCAAGATTGGAGTTTATAGTTTAGTTTTCGGTGGTGATATTAGGATTAATTTGATAAAATGTTGATATTCGTCATATTAGAAATGAAACATTACTTCATTTCATGCATTGTTTAGACAAGGTTTTCATTATTCATTTGATAATGATGTTGGTGTTGGGTTATGGTATAATACAACATCCTATGGTGCACATACAACCCTAAATACCTTGGATCTATGTTTTCACTAATTATACATGCAAATGGTTTCCAAGGTATTAAACCTACAACTAGCATGCATTTGATATAAACCATATAAAATACTAGTTAGGACATCATACCTTTTGAGGGAGCTTGAAGTCTTGATGTATTTGGCATTAAAGAGCTTAGCCCCAATAGTGTGGAAGCCTCACGTGGAATCACAACACACCATGGAAAAAGGATGAACTTGAGAGAGAATTCCATGCACCCAAAAACACCATCAACTCCAGAAATACTCAATTCCATGGAAAAAGGATGAACTTGGATTTCAAGGGTCATGGGTATAACCCAAATCCATTCCCATGGGTCTTATGACCCATGGTTCATGTGGCACAACTCTTTACGTATCCATACATAAACTTGGTCCAACATGGATCATAAGCCCAACACATAAAAATATAACTAATTAACATAATTAGTTCCCATAGATTTAATTAATCTCTTTTGATCACTAACTTAATTCCAAATTAATTCTTAATAAATACTAATTAACTCATATGATCTCATATTAATATATTATAACTTATAATATATTAATAAATCATATATAACCTCTTCTCCTAAAAGTCTATCCTAATAAATTGTCCTAATGATATGCAACCCAAATGGACCATGCTACACTCGGGTCAAGTACATACCAATAATAGTTATGGGCTTAAACATCTAATCCAACAGTCTCCCACTTGGATAAGTCAAACTATTTTTGCAAGTACAACTTCATAACCCGACTAGCAATCGTAGCTATCAAAGCCGATGTCAAACTCTGAA